GGTGTAGTCGACGCACATGCGCCACTTGTCGTTTGCCTTTTTCACCAGCACTGGGTTGGCTACCCAGCTCGGGTAATGAACTTCCCTTATGAAGTCTGCTACGAGGAGCTTTTCGACCTCCTCGTCGACCGCCCTCCAGCGCTTTAGGGCTAAGCATGTCGGTCGCGGATCAGGCAAAAATATCTAAATTTTAAAGTAAAAAACCACCAGTTCGGTTCGTAGTGGTTCCTCGACGGAAGCACCGATCTGTAGCGTGCGAGTTGGGTCTGTAGCCGAAGTCGGGATTGCGACCGTTTCCTCTGTGGGCGAAGCTCGTTCCTCGCCTTGCTCCGTAGGCCGCTCCAGTTCAAGGTCGTCGGCCGCCTTGGTTTTTCCCTTCAAGGCAGCAACATAACACTTGCGGGACTCAAGTTGGTCGCCCCGCGCTACCCCCACACCGAAGTCTATAGGGAACTTCATTGCCAAATAGTATGTGACCATTGCCCGCAGGATATGCGTAATTGGCCACCCTATTATGGCATTGTATGGGGAAGGGGTCGCGACTACCAGGAAATCATGGTTGAGTCTGACCGCACAAGGCCATGTGCCGACTTCCACAGGTACTGTTATTTTTCCGAGGGGCCTGACTTCCTCTCCGCTGAAGCCCACCAGAGGAGTGTTCGCGGGATTTAGCTCGCTCTTCTGCAACTGTAGCTGGTCAAATGATGACTTGAAGAGGATGTCCGCCAAGCTGCCCGAATCCATGAGTACGCGCTTGACCTCGAAGTCGCTGATCCTCAGTTTTATGACAAGTGCGTCATCGTGGGGGTAGTGGACCCCTCACGCATCGTCTTCCGTGAAGATCGGCTCTTCAGTCTTCGGTTTCTTTGGAGGGTTCTGTTCCTCTCGGGCTGCTTCATGAACTGACGTCCGGGCCGCTGCCGAAGTACACTCTGCTACCACCGAACCTCCCACTATTACATGGATGGTTCCCCGAATTGGCCTCTCTTTCGGAGGCTGTCGTTGCGACGGTTCGGCTGGTCTGCTGCTAGATTCGGGGGCATCCTTTCCATGCTCCCCTTGTCGACCTGCCTTATTGTTATTATTATTATCATGCTGTACAAAATTCCTCAACTATCCGCGACGGATGAGTCCCTCTATCTTGTCCCGGAGATTATTACACTGTTCGGTACTATGACCATGGTCTCTATGGAAACTACAATACAAATTTTTATTTTTCTCGTTCGGATTCCCCTTTAGGCGAGGTGGCCACTTCACGTATGGGGCGTCCTTAATCGTCATCAAGATCTCGGTCTGCCTCGTGTTTAACGGCGTGTAATCCGTCCGAACTGCTAAGGGAGCTCGGGACGGCTGGCTCGGTTTCGCCTCCCGGGCCGGGTTTCTTCTGTCACCTGGGWTGRAGGGCTCACCTTCTCTTTTCCTTTTCTCGACCCCGCCTTCGGTCCTTTGGTTGATCTCTTCCTCTGTTCTCATGAACTTGTCCGCGAGCTTGAGGAATTCGGCCACGGTGGCGGGCTGGCTAGCTACCATGTGCCATTTGAACTCCTTGTGCGTTACTCCTCTCTTGGCCGCCGCAAGCTGTACCGCAGGGTCTAACC